GTCTTGGTGTACTCTCCAATAGAAGATCACCTGGTACATGTCCGTGAAGTTCGCCATTGCATCGAGAATGGAGGACTTACAATTAATCCCGCCAAAGTGCAACAGTGCACCCAATCCCTCACCTTTCTCAGCCATGTTGTATCTCCATGAGAGTACCGGCCAGACCCAGACAAGGCACGTGTAGTGGCAGAGTATTCAGGACCTTCCAACAGGAAGCAACTGCAGGCATTTTTGGTCTTGGCCGGATTCTACAGGAACTTTCTTCCACAATTTTCTCTCACTGCAAAGCCATTGACGAACTTGTTCAAGCAGCAACAGCGATGGCAGTGGACGAGCATTGAAAAACGGTCGTTTGCAACTCTCCGTGCAATGCTGTCAACAGATGCAGTTCTCAGCTTGCCAGACCTTAATGCACCATTCGTAGTTGAAACAGATGCCAGTAGTCTGGATATAGCAGCAGTGCTGCTGCAACGTCAGGATATCATTTCAAATCCAGTTTTATTCATCAGCAAAGGCTTGTCAAATTCGTAGCGTAAGTACACAGTCCATGAGTGGCAGTGCTTGGCTGTTGTATGGGCTGTGGAGAAACTTCGACCCTATTTGGAATTCACAAAATTTGAAGTCCTCTGTGATCATGCGTCATTAGCCTGGATGTTCACCCCTGAGCAGGCTTCTCCTCGTGTGCACCGCTGGTTGCTACGCCTTCAAGGGTTTCTGTGCAAAGTTAAGCACTGTCGTGGGAAGGCCAACATCCCTGCTGATGACTCAAGCCGGGCACCTGTTGAGCCAGACTCCAAGACAGCAGCTAAAAGACTGCCTGAGAGACTTTTGTCACTTGACTTGGACACTGACGAAGACTCTGTCACTTTTGACATCTGCCTCCTGACCACCGTTGAGGACCTCAGTGTAAGAAACAATGTGGAAAAAATAGCACAGGAACAACAACGTGATGTCCTTTTATGTGACATAACAAAGACTATCCAGGGAGAATTCTGCCTAAAGGCACTGCCCAAACCGGTCTCCTAGAGGACCCAGCATCCACATTCCATCTAGAGTCGTCGGGACTTTTGGTACAATGCCGCGGCAACTGTACAGTAGCTTGGTTGCCTGCTCACCTTCGTTTCTTGGTCTTGCAGATGGCTAATGACCACCCAACAAGTGCCCATGCAGGATTCTTCAAGACGTTGTGGCGCATCTGGGAGAAGTTTGTGTGGTTGGGCATGAACAGTGACATATTAAAGTATGTCTGTGGTTGCTCAGTCGGTCAAAGGATGAAAGCAAAGCATTGCAAACCCCAGGGTTTTATGGCATGTCAATGGCCTGCTGCCCTAATGGAAGAACTTAGTGTTGAGTTGATGGGGCCATTACCTACTAGCCCTCGGGGGCAAAAGAACTTTGCACAAGCAAATTCACCAAATTTATTGAGTTCTTTCCTCTTCGTGCAGCAACACAGCAGATACTATGCCGTGTTGAAAAATTCATCTGCAGACATGGGGTACCTATTGCTATTTCTAGTGATAACAGAAAACCCTTTGTTAGTAAGTAACGGAAGAACCTGAGACGATTGAGCATCTTGGAGTCCCACACTGTACCCTACAGGCCAGCAGGACAAACAGTCGAACGACGTAATGGCACCGTAAACCAGTGCCTTCGGACATACTGCAATGAGCACAAAAACTGGGACTAATACATTCCTGAGAACGCTTTTGCAATTGAACTGCCATAAGTGTTGCTGCTGGGTACGCCCTAGCCCTCCTCTGCTATGGTCGTGAACTATGAACCCTCTGGCAACCTACCGAAGAGAAGCAGGATGCCGAGCCGGCTGCATCGGCTTCTCATGCATTCGCAGCAGAACTTCAGTCCCATTTGGCAGAGATCACAGATGCTGCATGGGCAGCATCAGCAACATGCTTGGCATGCACAGAAGCAGCACTACTGTCAGCGACGGCGAACCACGACATTGGAGGAAGGCGGCCTTGTCCTGTGTGAAACCCACATACTCAGTGACGCTGCAAGGGGCATCTCGTCAAAGCTCGCACCAAAGTGAAATGAACCATTCCGCATCTACAGACCTGTCGGTCCTAATACCTTCAAGCTCGTCCACCTGCAGACTGGAAAAACTTGTGGAGAGGCCCATGCTGACCAACTTGCCAAATACTATCTGCCATGGTCGGCAGGGCGGGAGCTTCATGCTTCAAGGGGGGACGAGTGTGAGGACATCTATCGGTATTGATGGGAGGGTATGTGGCGCCCCCTGAATGAGGTGGCAGCAGCGGACATCGGTCCTGTGTGTGCAGTATTTGTGCAGATGGTGTTGCGGTAGGAGGTATGCAATCGCAGGGACTGGTGAGTGAGGCCTAATGAACATGACAAGTTTTATACAGTAATAATACCTAGAGGGAGATCTGGCGCTAGTGTTTATGCGGGCTCCTTCAGCGGCGCTTGTACTCCCATGGGAAGTACAGACTTCAGATCTGCTTCAAATGGATCACGTTCTTGAGATTCGCAACGCTTCTTTTCCGAGTAAAAAACGAAGTAATGTTAAGTTATTTTCAATTCAAACTTGCCTCATTCTTTGTTATATACAACTTATTTCAAAAAGTTTTTGTTACTATGAGGGAGAAGTGAAACCTGGACCACCAGGGTATGCATTGCTTCGTCATTGTATTCCAGATTCGGCATCAAGATATATTGAATTATTTTTTACAACATTTGAAAACAAATATTTTTATTCTGCCCTCGAAAGTAAGCATAATGCATGTATGCAAATAACAGTACAATATTAAGTGAAAAACACTTAATGTTTCGTCTGCTGGGACACCAGATGCGTCTGTTCAAGCATTTCGCTCACAGACGTGTTCAAACTTGACAAGATACTTCGCCATGTGTCGCCTACTACGAACGGTAGCAGTTGGTCCCGAATTCTATAACCGCTGACTTGAACTGTCGGAGAAGCTACGCTAGGCGTCTGCGAACACTGTAGGATTGCCAATTCTATTCGTTTCAACTCGAGGAGCTCCTGTCTCTCGGCTTCCTCACGCTCGTGGCGTTTGCGCCTTTCAGCTTCTTCACGTTCGCGAGCTTCTACTTCTCGCCTTTTGGCCTCCTCGTGGCGTGCTTTGATATCCGCCCAGGCCTCATCGACTTCCTCAGCCGACACTCCTTCATCCTTCATGATCTCAAGAATCGCTCGCTTTCGTTTTGCACGGCCCAAAGTAATGCTGAGTTCCTCACAAATTTCGATGAGTTCCTTCACTTTAAGGTTCTCCATCGCTCACACTAGCCTCTTGCTGTTTGCCCCTGTTAAGAATCTACTTGCCGTACCCACTATAAGTCTACTAGCAAGATGCAAAAGCAAATTTAACACTGCTGTGTTTACACCCTCCGCATTAACTTTGATTTCCAAGCGCTCTGATTTTGCTTGAAACGATCAAAGCTCACTCTAATGTTTCACACAGCCCTTCTCTAAACTACTATAACCTGAGCTAGAGTAGTCTGGTGAACTGAGGGGAAAACATCAGGCACTCACCGCATCGATGTCGCTGACGCTGGCTGATCCCGCAGCTGCCAGCCACTGTTACGAAGCGCGCCTCCGACGACATTACGAAGGGCACCACGAACTCGCCACTGACACCACTGTTACGAAAGACGGCGACGCCAACACGGTCCCAAAGGCGCCACTGCTTCGAACTCCACCGAGAAGGTCACCAGCCGTTTGGTAGCGTAGGTTTCACAGCTCGCGACTGCTTCTGCGCAGAGCTGATAGACGAGTGGACGAATTATACAAAGTGGTGAGTAAACAAAGTTTAGCTTAAACTGTTAAATACAATTTCTAAAGCTCCAAAGCCACAGTAAATGTGAGACTTAGTGGTCTTCAGCCTCTTTGAACAACGAAGGTGCTTCTTCAGTGCTTTGCACCGCACCCCACTACTCACGCTGGGCGAAGAACGAAATTGAAAGGGTACTAAATGATTTGTGGACAGTTCGCTAGCTAATGCAATCGAATCTAAAGCCTGTCTTCTCATAATTCCCATAGGTGTACACGATCGCAGCACCAGATTCTTCTCCAGGTATTATCGTATTAAACTATATGCTATGGGGAATGACACAAGTGGTTCAAAAATTCAATTTTTGCGTGGTTAAACTGGACAGGTCGTGCTATCTAGTGGGGCCCAGTTGAACCAAAACACGTCTGCCATCTTGGAGCCAATAGCAGGAAATCGATCAATAGCCTTTGTTGCTGCTGTGGCTTGTGCTGCTTACATTCCTGCTGCTACCAGTGTCGGCGGCAAGCAGTAAAGCTGGGCGACGTTGTGCATGGCAACAGTGACGCGAGATAATCCGCTTCTTAAGGCGGGTAATTTGAAGTGCGCTAACCCAATGCAGACCACTAAAATGTGATTTTATTTCTGTTCTTTGGCACAAAAGTAATGCTACGAGATTTCCAGACCGCTATGTCAACAATCAACGTCGGCTTAATAGTTGCCTGTAATGTCCCTTTAAGTTGGGGACGATGCAGCGAGCAGTGTAAAGGAAAATGATAGGTGCATTTCTAAGAGACAAGAAGAGAGATGAGTGTATAAGGGAAGAAATGGGTGTTAAGGACATCATAGTCTAAATCAAGAAGAATAAACAGCCATAGACAAGGCATGTAGCACGAAGGCAAAATAACCGCTGGTCATTAAGGATTGCAGACTGGATTCCAAGAGAAGGCAAGCGGGGAATGGGAGACGGAAAGTTAAGTGGGTCGATGAGAGTTGGAAATTTGCAGGTATAAAGTGGATGCAACAAGCACAGGACGGAGTTAGCTGGCGGAACATAGGAGACGATGTCCTGCAGTGGGCGTAGTCAGGCTGAGGACGATGATGATTATGTCTCAGGATGATGCAAGGAACCCGTTGCAGCTCAGGGCATTGCCAGGAACATTTTGCTGGTAAATGCTGAGACTTGTAGTGAAGTTTGGAAGGAGCCATAAAATTTTGCTGTCTTCTTCCCAACAGGGTGACCGCTGTGAGCTGGTTGAGGCTTGTGCAGCGTGCGAGTCGGGCGAGAGTTGTGTGGAGCTGGCTGATGGCTTCCAGTGTGGCTGCCTGGAAGAAGGCCTGTGTGCTTACGAGGGTCTGCCTCTTGCCTGGCCCCTTGGGGGCGCTGCTGTACTTCTCCTGCTTCTCCTGCTGGCATTTGTGTGCTGCTGTCGACACTGCTGCCGCCACCATCGTGCTGACCACCAGTGCAGCAACACTGTCACTGCCAAGAATTATGTTCTGGCGACAGCCAACATCCGGCCAAAGGTCTCTTCAGTCTTGTAGATAGAGAGATGAATTTCACTTGTCCATAGCACCCATATGAATTGCAAGTCCCTTTCAGTAACCCAAGGTTTTGCCAGTAGTGCCTACGCCATAGAGGCCAGTTGCAATGAAATTTGACTTTAACAGAATTGGCTCGGAATGTGTAGCATGTGTTGAGTAAGTAGTGACAATGAAACTGTAAAATCCCGCAGTCTCGTATTTTGTTTATAATCTGTGCTCTAATTGTCAGCTAGCGGATGACGTGGATCTCTAGTGGTGTGCCCAGGCAAATCAGACACAAGCGAAAATGACGTCACTCGCAGAACTTCCTGCAGCCGCATTCCTTCCTTTTCTGTGTGACGCTCCTTGCTAGCGGCTAATTCAATTTGTACTACCCTTTTGTAGTGCAAAATAGGAGGCTGTAGGCGGTTGGAACTTGCATAACACGGCTGGGACCAACTTTCACGCATTTCCGAGAAATCCAAAGCTTCAAAAGCTGCAAGGTATTGCAGGGATACGAAAAGAAGGGGAGGTACCGAAGCGCATGGTGCTTTATGCTGCACAGTTCAGAGATGACACCTTTAGATATAACCAGGTAATCTTTTCCCAAATACTGCTGAAACTGAAAATAATGTTGAATCTTGTTGCTTTGCATTCAGCATTAAGCCACTGCAAACCCAAAATCAGGAATCTCCGACCAGCGTTTGGAGATGTACTAGTGAGCACAGTGATTCCAATTAGGCAGCTTTAGTACAGCATAAAATTCTTGCGTGAGCATGTTTTGCACGCTAAAATATAGTATAACACTATTAAAAAGACATTTAGTAGAGCGTAAAACTGGCAAAGTGACGCCCCGCAATGTGCTAGACTAGTTGTACTATCTCCATGGCAATAGTGAAAACTCCCAAAGCTGATCAGCTTGCTTATAGTTGCGAGCACTCAAAGCGGCTAAGTTCGACAAATGTATTTTAAGAAAACAAATTGTGTTATGTTAGGTTTAATGTAAATGTTTTTGGGCACAGTCACTCAGGTGTTTGCCTAAATGTAGGGACACTTTCGACAGACATGGGATTGTGTCAAACCAAGCATTGATATTGGAAACAACGCCGTCTTACTGAAGCATAAACTAGCAGCGTCATTTATTGTTAAACAATGAGTTCTTTAAGACAGCAGTATGAGACGATTGGTGAGAAGCGGGCAGCCATTCATGCTTTCATAAAATTTATGAGCGTGCATTCGTGTTTCCATTGTGGCGCATGCTTACATAGTTTGTTTCTGCGTAACAATGTGAAAAGTAAACACCGGAATGTGACCACAAAGCGTGTATACTTCGGAGCGCAAAGCAGACCATTCACCTGCATCAGCCAATATGTCGAGCTGCAGTTTACGTCACTTCCGGTCAGCTGTAATGGTATCGTTTTTTCTAGTTCTGTATGAAACAAATTTTGGACCTTCTCCCCAAAGGGAGCCCTGATGGGATGCGAAGCAGCAGCGGTGCACACGGCATTGACCTGGTTGAAACGGGCATTGATGTGGGTGCTGTATGTACGGTTTGAAGCGAAACTTTGTGTAGCATTCTCTCAAGTGAACGGTGTCGCCATTCGCGAACGCGCTCAGCTTCTCTAACCTTTGCAACACTTGCGATGGCCGGGTTAGGCGTAATCGCACGGCGGAAGTTTTAGCATGCGAAGCAGCGTCGTTTTCTGGCGTCCTCTGTATGGGATATAAACGAGCCGAAAGAGTGTACCACTCGATGTGTGCTCGAGCGTTGCGAGCGGTGGAGAGAGTGAAGTGAGCAAGTGTCGCATACAGACATGTTTTTATGCATATTTTGAGCGCGCATCAGGTTAATTGCGCGTGAACCAAACTTGTAGTGAGCAGCGGTCGCAGTAGCAAGCGTTCAGCTAGCGAGGGAGAGAGTGACGTCAGTGTGCACTGCGAGGGGAGTGTGATGTCACTTGTACGAAAGGACAGCAATTTATGGGCTAGTCAAAGAGCTGCTTCCCATATAAAATTGCGTTGTTGGCAAGTTTTTTTTTCTTAGGGAACCACTTGCATTCCGAAGGTGAAATTTGGCAGGTGGCATTATCTGGAGCTAGACTGCTTGTAAATCGACTTTTTGGAGTGTGCGAAATTTTGTTGCAGTTGGCCTTTAAGATGAGCATTAATTTGTGGATGGACACCATCGTGCAGACTGAGGAGGAGGAATAAATGAGGAAGTACAGGGAGGTTAGAGTTGTCAAATTGGCTTACCAGCTGGTACATAAACTCTATTACAAGATTATAGTCTAGCGTCGGCACTAGCTGTTGAGGGCTACATTTTGCTGGCAAAGCTCATCTGTAAGTCGTTTTAGCACCGCTATATTATGTAATACATTGACTGAACAAGTTAATACTACCAAAGCCTTTTATAATGAACACAATATTGCTGCAAAAAGTGGTCATTATGTCAGTATTTCATTGTACAGTAAAACCTCGTTAATTCAAAGTCACTGGGGCCGCGAGAAAGCTTTGAATTAAGTGGGTTTTCAAATTAACAGAACATACAAAAAGTGGGATGCAAGGAACTTAGAACTATTCAAACTAATCCTGGTGCTCGTCGTTTGCTGTGCCCGCTAGCCTGCAGCTCGAAAGGTCATGTTTTTCAGCAATACCTGGTCTTTATTTTTCCGTGAACATCGAGGAACGGTGGGTGTGGCTGCTGCCACTGAAAAAAAAGAAAAACGTGGTCTTGACTGAAATGTGCGCCTGGAGAAAACCAGACATTTTCACTGCAGCACAGTAGTGACAGGCGGGCAGCATGTCACCTGTACCTTGCTGCGTCAGCACGTCATGATGCGACCATTCGCACGTTCTTTCTATTATAATTATGAATTTAATAATGGCCAGTATGACAAAGCTCACGATGTGTTTTGGCTGGAAAAAATCATCTTTGAAACTTCCGAACATAGTTTTCGAAGTAGGTGTTGCTGGCAAGAACTCTGCCAGCAGTGCAAAGACGCAAATTGCTGGGGCAACTGGCTGTCGGAAGTTCGCATACATATCGATTTCCGCTAAACTGTCCTTTATTAATTTCTTTACAATCCCAGAAAGAATGGGTTAACTATGACCCGCTAACGTTGCGAGAAACATGCGATAAGCTGCCCGCGTGTCACCACTGTATTACAGTGAAGTATAGCTCCTTTTCCGCAAACGCACTGTTTTAGTTGACCACGAGATCGTTTTTTTTTCTTTTTTTTTTTTGTGCTGGAAGTAGTGAGACTGGGGCGCTTCAGCTGCCACTGATTAGTATTGATACGTTGCATACTTTGTGCCAATATAATGGCCGTCGTTTCTGCGGACTCGCGACGAAATCGGGAAAAGGCACATGGCTCCCTAAGTTTTTGATGTAACCGGACTGGTGCCAGCCGCCGCTTCAAATTATCCTCTCAAACTTACATTGCAAAATACGGAACCGCGAAAATCCTTCAAATTGAGTGGGATTTCAAAATAACCGAGTTTGAATTAACGAGGTTTTACTGTATATGGGTTCACCTTTAAAAATGTGAATTTAGCCACCAAGCTGGGTTTTGTAAATTGTCTTCTCTGCGCAATTTTATTAAAGGAGCCCTGTAACACTTTTTGGGCATGATCAGAAAACGCTACTGATCGATAGTAGAGGCTCCCGACTACACGCGAGCTAAATATCATAGCGCAGCACGTGGCCTTGAACTCACAATAAATATTCAAAGTCAGCTGAAAATTGCTTTCTCTTCTCTCGAGAAATTATAAAATAAGCCTAAAAATCACTCGTAGTAAGCCCATCTATCAGCCATTAGCTGATTTGAACATGGTCGCTTGGTCGTTACAGAGATTACCGCGGGAGGCTGCTACTTGTCGACACATGCGCGCACGATCACACTGAAAAAGCCGCGCAGTCAAAGAAAAAAAAGTAAAAAAGTGCTCAAGGTGACGAGGCATGCGTGACGTTTTTCTTTGCGCCTGCCATCCCTCCCTGCTTAGCTTCCAGGGCTTTCGTCGGGACGAGAGAAGAGAGAATGCAATTTCAGCATGCGACGAATCTTTGTAACTTCACTCGCACTGGACGGATTCTTAAAATTTTTGCGGCATTGAATTCGTAAGGTAATACGCTCTTCCTGTGAATTCATTCCATGGTTGCTTGATAAAAATTGTTTCATGGTCCTTTTAAGAAACATTAAGAAAACACAGCTCCGACTTTTTCTGCAATTGTGGCAGACAGGCAATGAAAATAAGCGTGCACAAGACATGAAAAGTTGGGTTTTGGCACCGTTTCATGAGACCAGTCATTTCGATAAACGAAATCATGACAGTAAGACATCTTGATCTGAAAAGCAAAAAACTATGTATCCCATCCTCATGACAGCACTGAAACCCTGTGACGACTGGAAAAACAGGCAATGAATAGCTCGTGGTCACATGATGATACCTGTAATGCCCAGGCTGTCTGAGTGGCAATATGCCTGATATCCGATTCTTTATGAATGCTTCATGTCAGACCATGCACAGGTGTGGCGAGTTGCCTGTTCATTCAACGAGGTGAAGACAAGTTTTTTTAAAGCATCGTGCAAGCGGTCTTGCGGCAGTGGTGGCAGCAGTGAGCTTGCAAACGGTAGCATGGCACTTTTGTACCGCCGTCAATCACAAGGTTTATGCCACATGCGCAGCCAAGTAGATAGCCACAGATGACTGTGTTAGGGTTATCAGCGATTGGTCATACTGCCACGTTCATCGTCTTTACTTTTTTCTGATGCTTATCCGTGAAAGCATCGCTGCAATTATGGTCGTCGGCAGGATTTTTTTCTATGCACGTGCAAACCAGTGTTCGTTGTGGCTGGGGAAAGGGAAAAGTCCTGGTGCAGCTTGGCTGAGGGCAAGTGCTGGTGAGACTTGAGAGGGGCAAGTGCCCCTTTAGCACTCCCCTGCCGACGCCCATGGCTGCAATTTCAACGAAGTCGTTATCACTGATTGACGAGTGTCTGTTG